GCAAAACAACAACGTACATCCAAACATACGCTCCCTGTAACGACAGCTATACAGAGGAAGATAGACAATCTGAGTGACCATATTAAATAATCAAGAACAAAGAAGATATATTTATCTTGGGAGATTTAAATGGCAGAGTTGGACGAAGAAGACCCCCCCTGGGAAGAGTACTTGGGACCTCACAGCGATAAAGATACAGACTGCAACAGCAATGGAGAAATGATACTAAACCCATGCGCTGAGCACAACATGATGATTACGAACACATTTTTCCAACATATACAAAGCCAAATCAAGACCTGGTACAAATGGAGAGACCTGAACCATACATCACAAATGGATTTCATCCTGATGCGCAGAAAATTCAAGAACGGTTCCAAACTACATCATCGACACGGAACACAGACCTGTGATACTTACTCTCACAACCAACAACGTAAAGCAAACAAAGGAGAACAGGGAAAAAGCCACGACTATCCTAAGAAAATTAGAAGAACCAGACATCAAGAAAGCAGTCAAGGATGATATTACCAAGGAGTACTTTAAACTGTCACCCGAGATCAAGGACATAGAAGACGAATGGCAAATGTTTAAAAAAATCCTTTTCAGAAATACTTTAAATTAAAAACAGTTGTGGCACAAAACGAATAGGTGGGAATAAAGGCAGAACAACATGCTGGTGGAATGATGAAACCAAAGAAGCAATTAGAATGAAAAAGAAGAAATTCAAGAAATGGCAGAAGTCAAAGACCGAAGAAAACTATATAGAATACAGGAAAGCGAGAAGAGAGAACCAAAGAATCACCAAAACAGCTAAAGAAAATGCATGGAGAATATATGGCGAGAAACAGACCAAAATCTGCAAGGAAAGCCCAAGAAAATTTTTTTTAAAGAGTGAAGAGCATGCGGATAAGGAAAGACCCATACAACCCGACATGCATTATAAACGACAAAGAGGGAAACGCCATTCTCGGCAAACATGCAATTAAGAAAAGATGGGAAAATTACTTCTAAGAACGGCTCAACCCAAGACGCTTGCCACCGACAACAAGTAAAGTTCCAACCATCATATGGAGATCAAACAGAACCACCAATACTTCCCAGAGAAATAGAAAAGGCATTCAAGACCAGCCCCAGAGCAAAGCACCAGGAACAGATGACATCACAGCGGAAGCCATAAGAACTTGTGGAAACACCGGTATACTGTGGCTGAGGCGTATTTTCAACAGAGCCTGGGAACAAAGAAAATGCCCAGAAGATTGGCAGAAAGCCATAGTGGTACCGTTATGGAAAAAAGGGCAACAAACGCGACTGCACAACATATAGAGGCATCTCATTGATACTTATCCTGATGCAGTCACTAGTGACTGTACTAGACGGTAATTAATATCGAAGAGAAAAATGGTTGTCTTACACACGCGGACGTTTAGGACAATGTCATTATGATATAAAACAAATTTTAAAAACCCAAACAACACACACAAAGGGGGGGGGGGACATGTGCCGTGGTCGTTGGCGCAGACCATTGTCTTGGGCACGTAGCCATTAGAGCACGTTTGACTGTATGTTGAGTTCTAGTTGTGCCAACAAAAGCGCAGTTGATAATAATATACTGGAGTATGGTGGAGACTTTTCGGGTTCGAACCCTAAACGACTACATTTTCAATCTTGGGAGGGCTTGAGATTTCCCATAGGTGTCCACATCCTTGCCTTGGTCCTGTCGCAAGGGACTTTGAATTATGAGGTGAAGTGCTACGAGGGCTGTCCCACGGAAAACCGGAAAAGGTCCGTAAAAGCAAAAATCTTTGTCCTATTATAATAAAACTGTAACACATCATACCTCAACATGTGCTTTATTTCTCAATGTAATCACCATCCCGCTGGACACATTTTTCCCATCGCTGGATCTGGGAGAAGATACCCTCCCTGAAGAATCTTTCGTCAAGGGATTTCAACCAATCGTTCACGGCTTCCACGAGGTCTTTGTCGTCGATGAATCGCTGTCCAGAAATATGGCGTTTCATTGGTTCAAAAAGGTGATAATCTGACAGGGTCAAGTCAGGACTGTGAGGGGGGTGTAGTAGAACTTCCTAGCCGAACCTTTGGAACCAGTCTTTCGTGACGTTTGCGGTGTGTGGCGTTGTGTTGCCATGCTGCAAAATGACCCCGCTGGTCTTTTTCGGCCCCAACCCATCAAGCAGAGACCTTTCAATAGTGCAGCTCATCAAACTCTATCCTATAGACAGTCGACTTTGAAATGTTTAGCGACTCGCAAATTTCGCGAATTTTTAGGCGCCTGTCTGTTCGAATAAGTTCGTTAACGCGACTCTTGTTGTCCTCAGTCTTGGCAGAAAAACAAGATCCTGGGTAAACTTTGTCATTGACATCGGAGTGCCCGGCTTTGAACTTACTACATCACTCATATACCTGTGACTTTGCCATTACTTTCTCCCCATAAACTGACTTTATTTCAGTGTGTATTTCTAGAGGTTTGAGACCTTTTGCGGTCAGAAACCGAATGACAGACCTCACTTCTACCCTTGACCAATTTTCCAAGGGGGTAGCCATCTTTTGAGAACTGCTGGGCTCGTTTGGTTTGTGCGATGCTTTTGGTGCTCAATCGAGAAATTTCTAAATGATTGTTTTACAAGTGTGCGTTTACAGAATGTGAAAATATTGAATAGTTTTCAAATTACAGCCAAATTCCGGTTTTCCGTGGGACAGCCCTCGTACCTCTAATATGACATGTGCAATCGCGCTGATCGGCTTTCACTACAACCCAAGAGCTTAAAATACAACATATCTGAAAACAAAAACATCATCATCAACAGCAACAACAACAACAGCGGTTAAAAATAAACTATAGATCGAGTAACAATTAATTACTAGCACAAAGTAAACACCAACGGGACGTACGTCAACAAACACACAATTAATAGATGTCATTTTCAATTTAGAAAAAAAATAAAATAAAAGGGTCAGATCGCACGTCATCCCGAACCCATTAGCAGGACCACAGTTAAGCCTACATAGTGTCAATTGAAAGGAACAAAAACTCTTCTGTTTTCCACGGTTAAAGCTGAAACAGACAAACACTGACGCACGATTCACTCTCAGCTCTTGGAGTGGTGCCTGTTGTAAAAATAAAAAGGAGGGGGGGGGGGGGGGAGAAAGGATACAGGCGCAAAAACGCGAATAAATATACGGGAAAGTGAAAGAGTAGGGCTCCAACAGGAGTCGCTTTTCAATTATTGATTGATCGTAACTGGTCTACGCTGCATTCGACGCTACGATCTAGATCATTCAAGAGATGGGCTGAGTATACTCGGCTCATCGGGTACAACCTAGCCTGGGTGAGGGATACAACATCCCACGCGGAAAGGAGTAGATAATCGATATATAAACCATCTTCCCCATGCCAGAATCGAACTTGCGTCTTTTAATATGTTAGGAAAAGAGCTCACATAACA